TCTGACCCTTATAGCACAATCATAGGGAAATAGACTGAATTCACACAGACTGTTTATGTGCAGTTAACCACAGAAAGCCTAAGATGAATATGTTTGTAAGTCACCGTGCTCATTACTGTCCCTGCTAGCTTCTGCTTCCGAGAGAAGCTTTCGTGCTGCTTCGGCAGATATTTTTCTGGTAGCTCTAGAAAACATCACAAACATATGTTATATGTAGATGGTTTGAACTCTGCGTGTTGTAGCGCTGCAGTAGCTCTTCTCTGTTGCTGTCTCTCATTATTTGCAGTATAACTGAATTTGAGATTTACTGTAGTAGAACACTGGGTTCGTTTTCTCTATAAAACGTTATAAGCATTATTAAAAGTGTAAAGTACTAAACAGACGGAGAGAGGTAGAGAGGAAAAAAAGAGACAAATGTAGAGAGCCCACACATACATTACACCCCTAACATGTATAAGGCAAACATGCTGGTTTATATGAAACATACTCGGGCTGGTGGCTGCCGCTCCCATCCCCACAGCAGGGGAGAAGGGGGCAATTAAAGTTGAAGGCCAAATCTGTTCTCTTATGATGTGAATCAAAACACAGTGGGAGGCACATTTCCATTTAGCAACTGCTTAACATGTTCTTATTATACATTCTGAATCATGTTCGCCATTATTTCAGCAAGCATATGAATGTGTTTCATATGTCACCATAATGATTTATGAAACTGAGATGTATATGTAAAGGTGTTTAGATTTAGATTGTGTTTAGACTTTACTTGAAGTAGCTATAATGGATTGTTCCTTCAGTAACAATTGATAGCTTCCCCCCTTAGATCTAAAGGGGTAGCTTAAGGTAATGAATGCACAGACTACTAAAAAGGGCAATCAAAGTGCACAGACCTCTACCAAGGCTATATTGAAAGGTAACATTTTTTGAGTGGGGCAGAAAAGCATTAAAAGCCCTACATATAGCTGCTCAACGCCAAATGGCAGACATACATAGTCAGTTTGTAGCTCAGGCTCAAAGTGGAGCATTTAGCAGCTTTAGTGCCAATTATTTCCAATAGAGTAAGTAAAGCCCATGTGTAAATAAGCAACAGTTTTCTAACAAGTTCACCACTTAAAGGATGATAACTTTTGCCACTGCCCTAGGTTGCGTGGAAAAAAAACAAGAACATTTAGTTAAAGTAGCAATAATAAGGCTACTTTAAGCCCTGCATTTAAAATGATAAATGCAAAACAGATTGGCTCCTATTGAAGTGTTATTTTATTATAATCCCTGATGCATGGATAAATATATTCAGGTCAGAAGGGATGAAATCAGGTCTAAGCAGGATATGGTTGAACTAGTAACAGCTGGACATGTAAGTGGTAAGAAAGTGAGATCTCTGGAAATGGTGAGAAAAAGGAAAAAAGGAAAGGAAGCAACTGTGACGGAAACAAGAGAGCACAGCATGGAAGAAAGAGCAAGAGAGAGACGTGCATTTAATGACACTGTTGAGCGATGGTCACTCTTCACAGTGGGATATCTCTGTTGCCAGAAAGAGACTGGGACAGAGAGGAGAAAAGAGGGAGGATAGATGGAGAAATAGCAGTGCACAGTCAGGAAGAATGGGCATCCTAAAGTTGGGTCCACTTCACAGCAGCACAACACAGTCGTTAGAGAGGGGTAATGGATAAGAGGGAGTCATAAAGAGAGGAAGAGGGGGAGAGAAAGAGAAGAAGAGAGCAGGAAAATGATTATAACGATGGTTTCCCAGCAGTATGGCACAGCAGATGCAGAAATAATGATGGAGGGAAAGACACAGAGGAAGGTAGAGAGGAAATGGGGAGTGATGAAGGTGAACGCAACTCACATTGAGAAAACTCAGCGGTAAGTTAAAGGAATTGGAAAATGTAGAGAACTGAGGAAAAGAAGGAGGTAGGACATTTTCTTTTCCTATATGGTGCCACAACAAGGCAGAGAACTCACAGCTTTACTCTCTTACACAGTCAAGCTCACATGTATACAAATATATAAGCACAGCAGAGGCTCTTGGGAGAAAAGAGAGAGCAGAAGAAGGAAATATTATATATATATAATATATATATATGTTGAAGTGAAGGGGGGAACACCAGAAATGGAGTTGGAGAGCGCGTTTGTGAAAGGAGACACATACTGTATTCAGTGCGACACCAGAGTTTTGCTTTTGACTGTTCTGGTTTGGCTCAAACAATGAAGGCAAAACTTAGAGCAGTCAAGAATAGGGGAAGTGGAGGATGAAGAGACAGATAGAGGGAGACAGGGAGGTAACGAAGCAGGAAATGGGATGGAGGAACTAGGTAACGTGTTGACTCTCACAAACTGTCTCTTTAAGTTTAATTGTTCTCTTCTTTAACAAGTCAACCTTTCAGAACTTTCTCTCCATCCTACACAGGTTACACATCAGCAGATATGCCCCCCCAGCTTCTGTCGCCTGTTTGAACATTACAGTTCACAGTCCATTTGGTAACTGTGGCCACTTAACTTTTCTTCTCTCTCGGAGTGCAGCTTTGCAAAAAAACACACTATAAAAGAAGCATTGTGGTGGTTATGTTGGATTTCAGATGCAATCTGTTGCAGATGCTCTTGCGGTGGAACAAGCTGACCGAACAACACCTGAGGGCACCTCAGACATTGAGCTTTCTGTGTAAAATGGCCCTGCAACTTTTCTCTGCTTTCTTGAAACTGATAAATGATCCCTTTACTGACTTTACCGCTATGTCTTGGCTCTCTTTGGTATTAACTGTTACCTTGTTATATTTACAGTATATCCTTATAGCACTTTGACATTTGATTTGAATGGAATTGATCACAAATAAAGTGGGAAATGACATGGCCTTCTCAATGTAAAAGTCAATTTAATTTGCCTTTTTTATTCCGTTTCTAAAATGCATGACAATTATGTTTAATCCACTTTAGAGGCTGTATTTTAAGTGGCATAATCATCTGAGACCATGAAATACACTTTCATTCCACGCCATGTATGAAATTGTCCATATCACAAAGGCTTTTTTGCTCTTAAGCATATTCTCCAGCTCCTGCTGGTTTACAATCTTTCACAACACTGAATGGAGTAGACACTTTCTTATCAGCACTTGCACTCAGCTTGTTGAAGCTTATATCTGAAGTAGTCCAACATTCCTCTGACCACTCTCTCTACACCTCATCCAAACCGCTGCAGGCAGTTTCCGTTTTCTGTCCTTCTGAATTCTTGCATGTCACCGTCCTCATGCTCTCCCTCCACTGACTGCCTATGGTGGTTCACATCAAATCAACAACCTGGTGTATACAAGACTGCAAATGAGTGCACATTCCACATCCCTTCGAGCCATGGTGTGTCCGTGCGCTACATACCAGCCAGTCGATGCCCTGCACTCTGCTAATGTTGTCTGCTTGGCTCTCCTAATATTGTGACCCAGTAATCACTCATCCCAGCCTTGACTCTTCTCGCTCCTGGCTCTGAAAAATATTGGAATGACCTTCCCACCTCAGCCAGCGCCAAAGAGTAATCCAACTGAAGCTGAAAATTAATCTCCTTAGGAAACATTTCACATCCTCTTAAATCGTACCCTCTCTCCCACACCTTCCTTTCTACATGCACTACTTACATACTTAATTCTATCTACAGGTATTATTTAACTTAGCCTACAAATTATTTCCCCATATTCCTGCATCTGTGACTTTCTGTTTTTACTGGCGAAATACCCAAATCACATTTCTTTGGCAGTAATGCAGATATGGTCTCCTTTCAAAAGAGGACATGCTGAGTGCAACCAAACCAAAATCAAACAAGTATGGTCCCTAAGTCTGGCCACTTTCACTGCAGGTGAAAAAACTAATCACAGCCTGTTGCCAAAACTAATGTTGGCATAGACTATGATGAAGCAGTAACAGCAGATTATGTCAGATGCAGTCCTTCGCATTGTGTGTCTTTACCTCTTCTTCTCTCCCTTTCTCTTTTCTCTCTCCCTCTCCTTGAGACCAATGAGACATAGTGTATGGCTTGCTGATATTTTCCCCTCTACTCCCATTCCTTCTCTCCTCTTCATCTGTGTCTCTCCCTCTATTGGCCTTTACATGCACACCTCAGACACTGCCCCCCCCCACACACACCCACCAAGAGACATATGGATGAAGGAGAATAAGGAGAAAAAAAGAAAGAATGACGAATAGAGGATAGAGTGACGGAAGGACACAATCGTAGTTGAGGTTAAGTACAATATAAGTAGGAGAAAGAGACACGGATAGCAATGGAAAGGCAAATGAGACAGGAGAAAGTAAGTATGATCCCGTTGCTCCTCCCTCTTCTGGCCCTCTCTCCCTCTGACACAGCACAGAGCAACAGTCTGGCGTCATGTTGGACTATTCAGATAAATTATTCCTGGGATGAAAGTAAACCACATACCAGGTGACTTAAAGCTAGTGAAGGTCTGCCCACTTAGCCTCGTGGCCGATGTCTGTTATTGCTCAGCTAATTTTCTGAGTGAGATTTTTGGCTGACCAAATCACAAACAAATGACCTGTGGCAAAAGGATAGCTCTGCTCACATGAACATGGATACATATCGCACACACGCTGTAAAGAATAAACCCAACATAGACACACACAATGGACAAACCCATGCCTAATAAAAAGGAAAACCTTTAGTTCCCTCTCTCCTTTTTTCTCCCTAATGTTACCATGACTAAAATGTTAATTACAGCTAAAAAGAGAAATGATTGCAAATATCAAACCGCAATTAGCATGTATCATCATTATTACCACCATTAGCTGCAGCAAAAGATGGAGGGTTATTTACCAAACAATGTTATGCTCATCAGCTGCTTATTCAGGGTCTGAAATATTTTACAGGAAGAAAATAATATCCTCCCAATTTCCATAATGAGTGTAGTTCCATTTTTTTGCTATTGCGAGTCTCGAAGCATGTACAAGGCACAGTGTGATTATTGTAAAATTGCAGGTATTTATTTATTATACTACAAACCCCGTACACATCTGCACAGGCATGAACACAAGAATGACCCTATACATATAATCATTTTCTGCTTTTTTCTGTCATTATATACTCAATAGTTACCAGTTAGAATAGGGTTCTGTTACCTTGTTATATTTACAGTATGCCAATTATATATAATAAAAAAAAGATTCCACTGCCCTCTCCTGACATTTAAATCCTGAGTATGGTCGGACAGATTCTGGAAAAATCTTCGGGTGGAAAACCAGGTAAAACCTCTCCTCCTTTCTGTTCTCATTTGACTACTGTGCTCAAACGTGAAAGGTCAATCCACACTCATGACACCCCGAGGACAGTTTTTATCACATATTTGACATTAGATTACTTTAGCAATCAGCCCTTTTCTTCTATCCTTCCCTCCTCTCCCAGCATCTCTCTATCTTTTACCTTTGAGATGGACCCTGCAAGCTTCTTATTGAAGTACACATCCCTGTGGCATAATATTGAAGAACAACACTTCTTGTGCACCTTCTGGTTGCCAGCTGGTGTAAAATTCATTTTTTGAACTTTATTAAAAAGCTACAAAATAATGAGCAACAGCACATTCGATAAATGATCAAGACATATTCAGTTAAAGATCACATCATGATGTTTCCTACTTTTCGTAACCCATTAAAAAAAAATTAAAAAAGACTTGCAGCGTGAATTATGTTAATTTTTAAGATTTTATGTAACATTTCTTCCTTACCTTGTTGTACGAAGGAGCCGTACACGAACCACATGGAGTTGTACAGCGTTGTCGGTGACACAGAGCCCATGGGTAGCCGGGGAGGGTTGAGCCAGTTGAGCAGGTACACCAGGATGCCAACGAGGAGCACGGTGCCCGCAATGCACGCCCACAGTGACAGGTCGAAGGGCGCCAGGCAGGCAAACATGTCCACAGTGCGTTCAGCTTTGCGCAGCAGAACGCCCACTGAATAATCCATGTAGCGTGTGGTGAAGTCCACGACGCTCTCTCGCTCAGGCGTGATGGTCAGGGCAGAAAGTCCCACATCTGCTCGCTGCAAGAGGCGGAGGTGAAAAGAGGAGTTTGTAGTATCAACACTGAAAATGTGTAGGTGAGGAACACAGCAGAAAAATGTACTTTTGTAACCATAGATAGGCAATTGTTTTCAGTCCTGCCTCAGCCCCTTCCAACAATTTAAATACTTAATACAAAACATTTGTATTTCTTCCTACAAAACATCTGGGCTGCAGGTAGCTAAACAAAAGGTATTTCTGAAGAGAAATGCAGTATTTTTCTGCAAAATCTAATTGTTTTACAGAACTTTGAGAATGAGTAGTCTTTGCATATTGCTGGGACATGAATGAACCGTTCTAAATAGTTGGGTCCTGAGTGGGGAAAGGAGACTGCCCCTCTTATATTTTTGAGAAACAACCAAAGGCATTGGTTGAAATAAACCATTACCAGCTCTAAATTCTAAGTTATAGTATTATTTTCCTCTTTTCTTTGGAAAAAAAATCCATTATTTTAATTCTGATATAGAATGATTCAACAGCTGCAGGGCAGGCAGGAGGCTGAAGGGCATTCAGTGTGAAGGGTGGCAGGGCCTGCTCTCTCATATCCATTTAATTTAGGCCTATTTATGTTTCAATGCTAATCAGTTCACACTTCAACAGAGAAATTATTTCCTAAAAAATCAACAAGATGACAACAGATGACATCTTTAATTATTTACTTGTAAAGACTTGAGTATGTTTGCCATGAAAAATAGGCTTAGTTCAGCTGAAATGCAGACACAATAAAAGGCTAATTAAAATGTTTTCAGTCCCCAATGCTTGGCTACAAGCAGATGTATTATAACAAGGATTACAGATGCTGTTGTAAGCGTCTATGTTTGAAAATGAGTGCCAAAGATAGTACAAGTGTATTATGAACTTGTTAGATAATAGGATTGTATTTACTCTAAACAACTGACTGTAACAAGTTAGGTGATTTTGCCGGTGAATACTAAGCCCTACAGCCGCTGCACACACTCAGATTACACACTGACAAACACACACTTGCATGCATTGCTTACCCCATCTATACTCCCACACACACACACAACAAATAAAATATTTAATCTACCGTAGGCAAAAAAATTAAATCTGCTAATTTCACAGTTGAGTGAGGAAACAAAATGCTTAAATGTGCAGAAATTGTCACTTACACTGCATAAGACATTTAGTAGAAGCCCTACAGGATGCCTGTTGGTTGAGACAACACTACGATAGGCATGCAAATGCAGTGTGTGTGTGTGTGTGTGTGTGTGTGTGTGTGTGTGTGTGTGTGTGCAGTATACTGTATGTGTGTGTGAATACAGATTAATTTCTATGCTGACTGCTGTGGTCAGTCGACATGGAAACTTTCAGAGAGAACTCTGGGTAATAATTATGTGGTATAATTGGGTTTTCGGAGAGATAAACTGCGTTGCTGACTGATGGGGGAAACAAAATGTTCAGCCTGTGCTTGTCACATTATTCAATGTGCTCACTTTGTGAGATGTTGCATTGGGGGGAGGGGGGTTACAAAGGCTAGACACACACACACAAGTATACAAGGTCAGGGAAAAGAGACCCAGTTTCAACAAATATTCAAGCCTGACATACAACGAAAAGAAAATAATCAAGGGAAAAACATTGCTGAAAATAAAAAGAAATATCCTTGACCTACGGCATTCACATGCAGGAAATGAAAAGATAGCTTTTTCTTTAAAGTTTGAAAATGTGATGAGAATTTTCTTCTGTCAGTGTAGTCTTTTTTATATGTTGTTGATTTAATGATTTTAAGTGAAAGTAACCTGTGCCCTTTAACGTCAAAGAGATACCTCCCGACACAACAACACTTGCATTTGGCTAACTTTGTTGCATTGAGCATCAGCTTAAGGTTAAAACTCATACATTTTACACAACAAAACATATATTAACTACATCTACATTTTGAATTACATAACAATTCTAACTAGGTTTTTGATATATTTGTCATGTGTTCATAACATAATATTACCAAATTAGGAATGGAATTTTTTATATTCATTTATTAATTGAATGGGACAATTTTAAAGGCAAATTCTTTTATTTTATTTTCAGGATACAGTATGTTATGTCTTCCTCATCCTGGCATAGACACAACATACCTATTAGTCTAATTGCATACAGTAGGTGGCTGTACTAATCGTCATGAATGAAAAACAAGTTTAGCAAACTCAAATGAAATGTTAAAAATGTGTACCCATCTAAAATATGTCTTTAAATTATGCCTTTACTTATGCGTCTATTGAATGGAAAAAAATTCCATCTCAAATACCTTGTTGCATCCCAATTTAGCAGTCCTTAAATTATTTTTGGGAAACAGAATGGCGTGACAGTATGGTGAGCTGAAGCCTTAACGGTTGGCCCCCACATGAATGTTTAAACGACCCAAGGCTTTAGAGTGAGGTCTGAGAAACAATGGGCTTTTTCATATTTTGATGCTTTGTGGAATATTTCTATATTTTTGCATAGGGTTTGTTACTGTATAAAACCTTTTATTTCTACAGAAAAGGATTACGGATGTAAATGAGAGCAAATAATGTTGCATGTGCAAGGAGCATATTTTTTGGAAATATTGATCCCAAGTTGAATATCTGAAGTATTGTCACTACTCAGACTTGACATACAGTCATTTGAAGGTAATGTATCTTGTGTTCTGTGTCTCTTTTTCTCACTTGCTTTATGCTGTTAACCTAAAGAGGCAAACATATTCAGTACTTACATCTGAAATATTCAGTGTCGGCTACTATAGTAGCTGACCATGAAGACAGACAACAAAAGAGCATTAGCATCTACTTTGAGGGCAATAAACTTGTCAGAACATAAGATTGATTTGCTCATTTACTACACAGCAGAGAAGTGGTGCATTCTCTGAATGCAAATGTTAAGCTACCTTAGGTAACCTGTCCGCAACAGCAGCTATGTTAAGGTTAAAGCACTTGTTATTGCCAAATGGAGACCCCACCCACATAAACACACACACACATTCCCTCTCAAAAATATTATTGATGAATTCATGTTTTTACTTTAAGGGAAACAAGTAAATACTAAGGGAGTTAAGATGCTGTCAGATAGTTAAAGATGCTTGAAGCTTCTCCTCAGAAATATGCCATATGACCCAATTCCACTCATTTTAGACACCATGCTTCATTGGTTGATTAATTACTGTCTAAATTTCCCTTTCCTATGTTAAGAAGTTGAATTTTTTTTGTGTCAAATGTTAAGATTGGAATCCAGACTGTGAAGACTCAACCTGAAGATGACTATGGTCCTAAAGAAATGTACACAAGTGATGCCTATAACAGGTGTCTGCAAGCCTGCTTCTTCTTTTGTATAGGCAACACACTCTTATATCCATATATCTCTGTTAGTTCTTCAAATATCTATCCCATGTCATTCTTCTCCTGGATTCCATTATATTGTTTGTGTATTTTAAGTGTTTGTTTGTGTGTTCTGACATGTGTTTTTGCATGTATGTATTTTCCGCTCACCTTAAAGACCAATTCCCCCATCAGTCCGTTCCATTGCCCGTCAGGCTGCAAACTGCCGTATTTATGGTCTGGAGCGACGTAGATCTCATACTTAAAGCCCAGGTAGTCGGACAGAGCATCCAGGACGTCAATGGAATAGCCTTGGTACTTCTTCGGTTTTCCCAGAACGTTCTCTGACACCATTACAAACGGCTCCTCCTGTAAGGCAAAGATCAATCCGTGTCAGTGAGTCAGACAAGCAGCCAATCAATACACCACTCGTTCAAGCATTAAATCACCCAATTACTCAAGTGGCCATTCTACCACCACAAATGCTCATTTTAAAGCATGGTAGAACTTCTGAAAGAGCCTACATTACACATACAGTACAAAAAGGTCATGATCAACACACTATTTGCACAATTGTAGGTCAACAAAATCAGTTAAATGCCTGTATGGGGAAAGTATATTTTACAGCATTACTGTTGTCAAAGACTACAGATAAACACTCCCTCTGGAGATTCCAGTACATTGAAAAAAAAATAAAATCTTGTACGGTTAAATACATGTCCTGCCTCTGACAAATCAAAGCCTGTTCTGTTTTAAGACCTGCATGTTTTACATCCGCTCAGTCTGGTTCCTATTCCCTTTTACTGACACACTATTACCCTTGAAAGCCTTGCCCTACTCTTGATATGCATTACCATCCTAAGTATTTGGGTGCAAATGGGATTTGTCACCCCTCTGACACGTGAAATGTCATAGCCAGGGTGAAATCGCACTCCTGCGGGCGTTATATGTATCACATCCCTCTCTGTTGTGGCACCAATGGCTGTCCTTTATACATTATGGAGCACTAAGAGCATTGGGACTCATTAAAACATTTCTCTAAAGAATTGGAAACTGAAAAAACGAAAATGCCAGCAGTAGCACATTTTCCTTTGAACCAATATGGTGATAAAAAACAGTGTAAGATAAAAAAAAAGATCTGACCAGGAATAATTCTGCCTACTGTTGATGTGTTGAAACCAAAACAGATGCAACGACATGAGGTAGTTCTATATCTATTCACCTTTTATTCAAAGAGGGAACTTAATAATGTATTTAAATATAACCTATCAAACCTTTTCAAGTGAATTATAATGTTGAAATCAATAATTGCCTCATGCATTTCAGCAGATTTGTTTTTTATTGGTTAATTTTGCAATGCACTTGGGACAGCTGAACCTCCCGTTTATCAATATCTCCATGGCATCTAAAGGGCAGCGTCCTGTAGAGGCTAAATGACATTCAACAATGCTGACAAACACTGGTATTAAATGAACACAGCACAGGGAGAAACCAATGCCTTTTCAACAAGAAGAGCTGGAAACAAAATGTATATTTACTTGTATATACTGTACTAAGATTGAGTGTTTAATTGGAGGAATTTTCTCATCAGCTTTTGTCTAGTATTTTCACTCACCCTTTCTCTCTCGCCCCACTTTTTCTCTCCTCTTTAATAAATCCCTATTGATGAGTGAAATGTTTTAGGCCAATATGTCCTGCGGATTTATGAGGGCCTGCATGTTATTGACTGGATACTGGCTGCCCATTAAGCACACATACATTCACACACACAAGCTGTCAACATTAACATGGCGGCATTCTAATCCTTGCTAGCTGCTGCTGTTCAATAAGCTATTAGTCAGTGAGTGGACATGCATGCCAAGTCCCTATCTCACCTCAAGCATCCATCCACCAAGGCAGGAACACCAACTAGCCCACACACTTACTTAGTAATCCCCCAAATACTTCCAAATACACTGCTGATTGTTGGTGAATGTTAACAGTGGAACATTGTTTCTAAAGTAAACCAGGCATTGCATTGATAAGATTTTTTAAATGTAATTGGTACTATTTTTTTCAGCGAACACGTAACATATGAAGGTGTTTCAATATGACCCACACGTTTTTTTTCCGGCCTACTATTCAGCTTGTTATACATACTGTATGGTTTCCAAGTGAACAGGCTCTGTGATATACAGTGAAAACACACACTAGAACAAAATCAAACATATCCACTGTTTACATGACTGTATGTGTTGCATATGTACTTGCAAGCCTACTGGAGTTTGCTTGCTACTGTCACAATGGCACACACCACACATAGCAGCTGCAAATCAATGCAAAGCAGTACGCAGTTCTGAGTCTGTGTATATATAAATGGTCGAGAGTTTCAAAGTAGTTTAAGCATGATTGGCATTTTATCTCATTAAAGTGAATTGTAGGTATAGGAATATGACACAGAGATGCATAAAAAAAACATATGTCAAACAATGTTTTTAGAACAGCTATATGTTCTCTGACAAGTGGATAGGCTTTGTCACTGACACCATTTGAAGTTGGCAGGACAGAACATGATAGTTCTCTCTTTCACTCAGGCATCTACGTTAACCGCACTGACTAGTTGAACATACAACTTGCTGAATTGTAACTTGTGTTTCCTTCACTCTTTCTTACATGTTATGATGTATAGTGATTAACAGGTCCTCTGTCTCTGGTTTTAGTGCAGCGCTTGCCAGTCACTGCTTTCATTGTTGATCAATGTCTGCCTTTTTCATTCTTCCTACAGTATGTATTCCCGAGCATCGCCTATATTTTCTGTAGTTGCTTCTTACCGTGGTGTCTTGCCTTCTGCTTCACTCACTTGCAATAGATTGATATAATTCAAGACAAATCCCCTTCTAAGATGTATTCTGGGTATGTGATGCTAATCTGTGGTTCTTGTTCTCTCTCTCACTTTGTTGTTATTTTCCAGTCTGTTTTATCCCCCTGCCACTGACCAGCTGTTTGATATACACCATTTGGCATCTTTCCACAACCCAACGTCTCCATCTTTATCAAAGCATTATGTCTAGGACACCTTTTCTCCCTCCATCAATCTATACGTTGAAGATGGATAACATCACTTCTTCTATCCCCTCTTTGTCTTAACGATATTGCTCCCATCTCTCATTCGCCTCATCCCTCCTCCTAGTACCTTTCCTTCACTCTCATACCTTTGGCACAAGTTCATCCCATCTCCTCTCCCCTGAAAGTACAACATGTTGTCTTCATGTTGCAAGGAGGTTTTTGACACATGATTGGGAAACACATTTTTTTAAAGTAATGGCAGAGGATTCCTCCGTGGTGATGTGTAGCAGTGAGCATCCCCAAAACCCCGAAATTCGAGTAACATGTATTTTGTGAAAACCTTGCCGGTCTCTGCAGAACATTAGGTTCTGTTCTAAAATGAAATGTCCCTCTGTCTCTGTTTGGTAAGGATGGAGGATGTGTTTCAAAAAGTAACAAAGAAGCAGTGCAGTACATTGTGAAGGTGATTCATTTCTTCTTACTCTTGTTTTTCTGTCATATCTTTACTGTTGCTATCTAATGAGGGTGTACCCCATAGTATAATTACTTACTGAATGTCTAAAACAATTGAGTGGAACCTTATCAATCATCATTTATCATGATGATCAATCACCCCCAGTCTCTACAACACTTTAAATTGAGGCACCAATTTATCTTGAATTCTATTTAGTGGTTACTGTGTGCCTTATCATCTTCTGAAGTAAAATGTCAGGTTCATTTGGGGAGACACCGAGCAGTCTTTCCTTATTTCCAAAAATGTAACCTAAAGTTAATAAGGGACACGCTCAGCCTTTTGCTGCGTTTGAGCTGCAATATACTGTATATTCCCAGTTTGCTTCTATGAATGTGGAGCAGAGCCAAAGAAAGGAGGCTGAACACTCGAAAGCAGAGAGTATAATGAAAACATCAGCAACTAACTAACTAACTAACTCAGCAGGTGAATCTCACCAAATCAGGAACATATGCAAATCAGTGATTGGTTATTTAAAGCTGTCTGATTTTGCACTTTCAGATTGTTACATCGGAAGAAAGTCAACTTTTGATCAACGTTTCAAAGCTTTAAATTATATTCGGTCCCATTTGTGACCTGACTTTAAACTTTACTAAGCCCTGAAGGAACCATGAACACATAATTATAGTGATGTAGCCATTCATTGGTAACATCCATTTAATAATCACTATAGCTCTCGCCATTCAATAGCATTGATTTAGAGTCATTGGCCCTAATAGTGGCACAATCTCCTCGCCAATGAACTAATCGATAACTATTCAACCGTCTGAAAGACAGAATACGACAAACAGATCATTTCAGAGGTTATTGTAAGTGCAGATGTGTGTTCACAAACATGCTTGTTAGTTAAGTGTGTTACATGGACAATCTGCATGGAATGACCCCCACAAATAGAATATAAAAGGTAGAAAAGACGATATCAGCTGTACAGTACTACATCTGTAGAAGCTACCTTATCCCAATGATGGGAAAAAGGGGCGACAGTCAACAACACAATCCTTATTCCTTGATATTAGGATGATGAAAACAAAGACTTTAAAAAAAGGGATTGCCACAAAGATGTCTAGAATTATCTCTTTCTTCTCTGCCTCTCACTTCAAAGATGGGATATGAAGAATCTACAGCAGTAAATCTTTAAAGTACTCATGGGATGTACTCAAATCGATGCTGCGGGCGAGACAGAAAGAGCTGTAGTCCTACTATCATCAAGACCACAATGTTCTCTATCATCTAGCTGTCAAATGTCAGAATGGAAGTTAATTAAATAATGATGGTTTGGTCCATTAGTGAGCTCATCCTGTGTGTTTGCCTTTTCTGACACCTTGCTTTCATTTCAACACTTTGTCTCATAAATGTTTGTCAGCCATTGTCCTTCTCTCACACAAGCTCTCAGTCTGTCGCTCTATACCTCTCCACAGAGACCGAGATGAATGATGGGCATAGAACTAGACAAAAGGACGGATTTACAATAGAGCAGAAGGCTGAAATCTGACATGCCAGCAGTCGACGCAACAGTCTGTCTTTGATTGTTTTGAGTTAACAGCAGGACCATTTTCAAATAGGGAAACAGGTCTTTTTATGAATGGCCAATTGGAAATCACAGAATGATAAAGGAAAAATACATACAAAAAGAAAGGAAAAGCACAGGTGAGCAATACTCACCAGGACAGTGACGACTCGTAGCACCACTCCTCTCATGTTATTTTCCAATTTCCTGTCTGTCAGGGTGCCGTTCAAGCCATGAACTGGATCCCATGTTGCCAGCTGCAATGTGCAAACACACAAACACAAACAAAGAAGTTAGATTCTGAGGCATTGTAGATACCGCAATGAACAACCAACCACATTTTTTTAAGCACATGCACAAGATTAACACTGACAATTATTGTCACAGCAAGGTTCATCTCTGCACTATGCACTGTTCCTGCAGAAGAGATGCTGATTTTATTAAACATAAAGGTGCTTTTATAAATCTGACCTAGACTCCTAGAATGTCTTTCAAATTGCATCATAAACCTTCAGTATTTCCCCCCGTACCACATTATTTAAGCTCCAAAGCATATTTTCTTCATCTACATGCTGCCTTCTGCTTTCAATAAAATATTGTTTTTTAGCTTCAAAGATCAAACTAGTCTTGTTTCCCTGTAGACTAGAGAGAAAGGTAGGGGGAAAAAAGAAAGTGATTTAGCTGTCTGCCATCCAAAGACAACAAAAACCCCAACCATACACAAGCCCTGTGATACACACAACATTGCATGGCCTGATTTGTGCTTAGAAGAAAACACAAACACATCAGAGAAGCAGAGGGCATGGTGCAGGGGGAAATATGGGATGATCCATTTCACTAAAGCCTGGAGTTATTGTGCAATGTGCAATGTTCTGCCAATTCTTATCAATTCCGTTTTGGGACCAATACCGCAGTGAAGATTAGCTAAACTGGTTTCTTTGATATACTCTGCCATCAACATTTCATATCCTGTTTGAAGCATTTTGACAGAATAGAAAGCAACAGTTTGGTAGAATTGAATTCCTTTGAGTATTGGAGCAGGCTTTTGCATTAGAGGGAACTGTTGGACAACAGTTTGACAGGACTGAGGTTGACCAACAGGCAACAGGGAGGGGTTCCCTGATATTGTTTTTCACACCTTACACACTCAAACTGTAGAAGTGGGCCTCACACAAACACACAGACATACTGTACAACTAATGTTCCTGTTTCACCTATTAAGCTCGGAGAATGTTAAACATTCATTGGACTTGCATTGGTAGATTACACTAAGTGACCCGCCATCATTTCCAGCACAGTTCTGCCCAGTTTGATTTGAAATCCAATCATCCAAAACTGATTTGACCAGTGCATATTTTCAGGGTATTTTTTATACCTCCCCTCAGGACTGATGACATGCTAGGACGAATTGATCGACACCTCTCTGACTCTCCATTTAGCTTTACTGCACCTGTGGCAGCAGGAAATATTCCACCTATTTGAATACGTTCAATCCCATTACCTCATATAATTCCGAGCATAGCTACACCCAACTTGAATGTGAGTAGAGGTTAAATGAAACAGCTGTGATGGTGTGCAGGAATTGTAACTCTCAAAAGTATCTTTAACATAGGTATCATGTCAAACTATTTTTATTATTATTACATCGCTGTGCTTTAAAAAAGTGAGTACACTTTTACCCTGCTTGTCTGTCTGTGTGAATGTATCAGACAGAAAAACACAGCCAGGTAGAATACATCACATGTAGTGCTCATTTCCGCCTGTAGGGGGAGGTGTGGAGCTTGAATCTGACTCTTCTCTAACACATTCAAAATCAGTATGATATTTTTAGTTTTGTCCTCTAGCATTCACACTTTTTCAATACTTTGTTTTTTGAAGATGAGCAAACTAACCTTTTTTTTATAATACAACAACGAAGTGTTGTCTTCTCTTCATTAAAAACCCGCTGTCAATACAGCCCTTAATAGTGTATGAATATGTGTCAACACCCTACTCTCGATTCATGTATGCTGGCATTAACCCCCACCCATTTTTTTAATTATGGGCTGTGTATATGTGGGTGGAAAATGCAAAAGATAAAAAGGAAACACGTGATAAGGCAGCAAATAACTTAAAGTAAAACACACTTAAGGAGAGAGAACCAGAAACAGGGAGAAATCGGGAGTACACAGCAGATGAAGAAGATACTGATACGTGGTGAGCAGCAATGATGAGACATTTTAAAAAGGTGAATTTACGGCAAAGCAGCTGTTTTAAGTGCTTGTAAAAAATGTGAAGGCGTATGATCAATAATACATTAGTGGTGCAGCAAAACGCAACGAGAAAGACCAATAGCACTGCTTTACAATGGTACCTGAACACACCTGCAGCCATGTATGCCCACATAAACATCCATAAAAACGGATTCAGGCGCATGTTATAGATGTGCATATAAAAGAAATAGAGCAAAGGCCAACATCATGTCGTCTAAAAAAGGGAAAAACAAATCACAAATGATGCAGAAAATACATTTTCTTCAGCGACCTCTCTTATCAGTATCAATCGTCCACTCAAAGAGCTTTAATAAAAACATGACATGTTCTGACAGGTGTGAATCTCAACTCTTCCCAGGTGATGATTTTTACAACTATAACCTGGCTCAGAACAGACTTGACATTAACATGCATCGCGAGATATCTGACCGTAGGAGCTCAGCTGTCGGTACAATAGTTCACACCTGACATTAGAATGCTTCTACACATGCTTTTGTTAGTGATCACGTGTAATTGTATCCAGTGGCGAACCGTGTCTATCACAACTGGACCTTCTGTAGAGACACACACCGCTCCCCCCCCTCCACGGCATGATAATGTCCGTCTTTTCACTGAATTGTCGTCTTGAAAAGGGTACTCACAACAATTCCGCAACAACTTCATCTTCACCTGTTGCACTTGTCATTTCAACGTTTAAAAACAATAAAACGGCATGAATTGCTTCGTCGCATTTATCTCCTCTGTCTCGAGCCAGTTAACTAGCGGGCCTTCTAGAATACCCTGGGATCGAGGGAAACTCTGAAAGAATACACGCCCATTGGCTACAAATCAATATATGATTGGTTGATCAAACTGTCAGTCCAAACGTACGCTCTCATTCAGTGCAACGGCCAGGGCAGTCTATCAAGGATGTAGAATACCTTGGTTGAAGGATATTCTACCCAGAGACCCAGAACAAGATCTGATTGGTTGCTTTCTTTTCTAACACAAAACCACTCAAATGCGTAGTGCATGGTCCGAGAAGGACAAACAAATCAATGTAACACTGTCATATTACAGATCAACAACACAGATACGATTCTCATTTATTCATTTTATATACATTTTATTTTTATAATTAAATCGAATTTTTGTTTGTTTTATCTGAGTGTTCCAGGGTATTCTCTGAATACCTTGAAGGCCCTGACGGTTCGCCACTGATTGTATCTCACTTCTCCTCTGATAGGCCTATGTGGTGTGTGCATGTGTGTGAAACATTGTGTGAGGGCAGGGCACTAAACAAGCAACATGCAGGGACACACGCACACATTTTGAAGAAAGGTTATTTTAGTACAGTAATACTGTGCATACATGTATTAAACCACAGGAAAAGAGAGAAACATATTAACATATTGCACGTATCTGATTTTTATTAATTTACTTTTCTGACGGAGAATCACCATGAAAACACAGTCCTCGAGTGGGAACAGGGGAAGTGTTTTTAATTTACAGTTAAAAAAAAGTTTAGATCAATCAAGCATTGAAATGGTGTTGTATAGCAGGCTGGTCTTCCCCCTCGGCGACATTTGGTTGTTTACTTTCTAGAGTCTTGACCCTTGTCTTAGATTTGGTGGCTTGACAGCAAAAGCACTGTGAAAAAGGTAATGAACAGTGAAATGTACAGTAAGCAATTGAACCTTGGCAAACACACCTGCCAAAGCACGTTGTATTCCAGGCTTGCACTAAGCTGTTTACCAATATGGCACTGAGCCCCAACCCTTATATTGCAAGAAAGTGTGAATAGTGCAGATAAGATTTACAGATAAGACAAAATAAGACAAAATCAAAACAATGTTTGTTATTTTGTATCAGTGTTTCCTGTACTACCTCTATAAGACAAATATTGCCTTCTGCTGCCATGTTACCCTTAAGCAAGGCACTTAATATTGATTCCTCTTGACTGCGTTAATAACAACAGTTCCTATGACAGACTACTTTGAAAACAATGTTGATCTGTTATACATGTTGCTCCAGTTAACAGTCAATAAAGTCAACATCGGTTTTAGCCTTCGTTATGGGCTGAATCCTGTTAGGACTGCATTTTGCGGCTGTGAAAGAGAATGTATAGAACATTTAAGAAGATTCAGCAATGAACAGTCTGCAATGGCCTGTAATGGAAGGAGTCTGTGGTGCAATTCCCACAGTGTTTAAACATTAGTCAATATGATGCGGAGCAACACATCAATCAACATTGTCAAGCCCCACAGTATTCACAGAGGCTATCAATCAGCGGCAGGCTTTGTATGCAACTGCAATGCAAATACTCACCTTCACACACATTATGCATTAAAGGCAAATTGAGTTAAACTCCCCCGTTTTCACTATGGATTGACCATGATGTATTATGGATTTTGAATAGTATGATTACATGACTTAATGAGCCATTTCCCAGCCACTGAGATTTGTGTTTTTAAAGGCTCAGTTTCTGGAATTAAGGCAGATGAGAGTCACATTATCCTGGGTTATTGTATTCTACTGTATTAAAACGTGTCTTCTTGGTTTAACTACATTTATCTGTGAATTTATTTGTGGGTGCACATGACTATTTGAAATGCCAATTTGGTTAAATTCCCCTTTGTTTTCAATGTCTTTTTAACTAACTATCATAAGATTGATAGTAATTGTTTCTTTGCTGGTTGAAGCGTTGTATCTCTGTAATAACTACAATGAATAAAATACTATTTTAGGTAGGAATATAGACACTGGGATTCACTGGCAATATACTGTACATTATATGAAATATAATTATTATTATGTATTGGTATATTTCAAATGTTACCCAATTGCTTGACACCTGTCAATATGCTGCAATGTTTCCGTCCCTCCTTTAATTCCATTTGACATTTTTCTCAAATATATGTAGATTTTTCAGACCACCTACAGTAACATGAGTAGATGAGGAACAGAACAGTACATTGGAACTAAAATAAAAAATTTTGCAAGTGTTTGTTCTAAAATATCCAAAT